CAGGAAGGAGGATCAAAAGTTTGAGCCCAGCCTGGGCAGTTTAGTGAGACCTTGCTTCAAAATAAAAATTTTACAAAAGGGCTGGGAATGTAGCTCAGTACAAAGGTCCTGGGTTCAATCCCAGCACCAAAAAACAATGAAAGTGGGGAGGGGGGTGCTGGTGCAATTCCTGGGGTGCATCATTAAAAGAAAGCTGACTGTCTTCTGTGGGTGTTACCATCCCAGGGCAGTGCTGTCCAACAGAAAGAAGCTCAAGCCAGGTTAACTTTGTTAACAGGTATTGCCATGGCTTGGGTATAGATGTCCCCCCAAAACCTCATGTGGTGGCTGAATCTAGAGTGTGTGATTAATAAACCAATACACTGACTGGTTTGGCACTGCCTTAATCCTGGTAGTCTGCATAAGATAAAAGGGGCAGAAAGCCTCTGTGAAGCTCTCTTGTTGCCTTTGCTGTCTCCTGCATCCATGAACTGTTGCCTCTCTGCCATGCCACAACGCCTTAGAGCAAGGTGATTATAACTGAAACCTCTACAAACTGTGAGCTAAATCATCCTTTCCCCCTTTAACTTTGAGTGCTGGGTATATTGTCTGAGCCACAAGAGAAAAGTAACTAAGACAGATATCTAACAGAAATAAATGTAACACAGGTAAAATATTTTTCCAGTACTAGGGATTGAATCCAGGGTCTTTGCACCTACTCTGTCCAATGATCATTACAACATGGAATTGATGTGAACAAAAAGCTTATCCTTTATTCTTACTAATTCTTCAAAATGATGTACAACACAGCTCAGTTTGGACTAGCCACATTTCAAGTGTGCAATTCTCATACTTGACTATTGGCGAGTGGCTACATCCTGGACAGCAGGGTGTGAAAAGCCAGAGGAGCCGTGAGACAGAAGGCCTGGGTTTTTGCACGGCCTTCTGGAGTGAAGTTCCACCCTGTCACGTAGGACTTCCCATCTTCTTCTGGCTTGAACCACTGTATTTGGAGATCTCTCTGTAATGCAAACTTAGCCTGTACCCTGACTAATGTAATATGGTATAATTTTTTCTCCCAGAGATTGATTTTAACGTACACCTGCCATTTCATACAGTGACCAAGTGGAAAGTGTGGGAAAAGCTCTTGAGATCAGCCCATGTTTGTAAATAGATCAGCGATTACAGCCTGTTGTTCCAGGAGAAAGAGTCAGCTATAAAGGAAAAACTTACCTAGGAATGGGAAGGTACTCAAGTGGGGGGGGGCTCAAATTCACGGTCTTCCTGCCTCAGCCTCCTAGACTGTTAGGATAAGAGGCATGTACGGCACTCAAGTGTGAAACCTTGAAACACTCTAATTGGATCTACTTTCATTTTTGTATACTTGGATTTTTTCTTTGTTTCCTGGAAATCAAAGCAATAAATAATCTCCACAACCTTTAAGGGTCAGACAGGTAGCACCTTATAATTTGCATTATCAATCTGAACTATTAAAAGTGATGAGGATTCTACAACTAAAATTACATAATAAAAAAGAGGAGAGGCCAGGAGAGAAGGGAGAGAGGTAGGAGTGAAAGTTCACTGCGTCATCACCAGCACTTATTTAAAAACAAACCACAGTGTAAGAAAAGGTTTGTTGAAAAGACCTCTCCCGGATTCAATTCCTCACATCCTACATCTTTCCTGCTCAGGCATCTAGTTTTATATGCATGGTCATATAACATCTGCATGTAAAGATAAACCAATAATCAAATCAGGGTTTTTTTTTCCCCCTTATGCAATTTGTTTCTGCTTCCCCACAAACAAAAGGGATTCGCTAAAGACTGACAAGGTTCTTCATGATTCTAAATTAAGCCCTGGTTTATGGGGAATTGCAATACTGAAGCCTACAAAAAGCACAAAGTTAATGTAAGTAGGGATCTGTCCCTTTATTACTCTGGGTCCTGCGACATGTCAGTTATTATCTTGATTTGTTGACCCCATTCCTTTCCCGGAGGACTCACCATCTGGAAAGCTGAGAGTAGCTGAGTGAATTCATTCTACTTCCAACTCACTGTAGTGAGCCAGCAGAGGAGACTGGTTACAAATGTACATTGAGCCAGGCATGATGGGGCATGCCGGAGGCTGAGGCAGGAGGATTGCCATGAGTTTGTGATAAGCCTGGACTATATTGTGAGTTTAAGAGTTCAAGGCCAGCCTTAACTACATAGCAAACCCTGCCTCAGGAAAAACAAACAAACAAACAAACAAACAAAAAGGAACGAATTCAGGAGAGACATAGACCAGAGAGCAGATCCCCACTGCTAAGTAGCTGTGTGACCATGAGGAAAGCTTTGAGAATTTGGTCTTCTCATCTATAAAAGACGAGTAATACATCACCTCAAAGTACTATAAGGAATAAGGGGGATAAGCAGGAAAAGCTTAACACAATTCTTATCCAGTGCCTTGCTGCTAAGCATTCTTCTATTTCCAAAATAATGATGTTATACATGGAGAAATTGTGGCTCAGAGAGGCCCAAGGTCACACAGTAGAAATAGGACCATGTAGAAATGAAAACTGAGTTATCTAATGTTGAATCCTATGCTATTTTACACCAGGCGGAGGTGCCTTTCTCTTGCAGGCTGTGTGTGCCCCACAGTGGGACAAAGGAGAGAGAGCAAAGCAGCTTTGGAGGTCTCCACACCTCCCAGTTTAGGATAAATCCCCACCCAATTATGCTCAAAGTTGGGCCACCTTTTGAAATCTCAACTGCACATTCTTTTCCCATCAAGTTCCTTGAAATTTCCCTTTACAGAGCATCTAGGAAAAGCTGCTCTCGTTAGCCTGGGTCTGACTTTTATTTTCCTAATAAACAGACCTTCGGGCAGACAGAAGAGCCTCTTATTTTTAATCAGTTCTTCAATATTGCAGCTGATTTCCTTCTATTTGGCTTGAAACTGTGATCTGGAAAAGGCTGGTCCTGTAAATTGTCCTGCTATAAGGGAAGCCCCTTGAGGATCCTCAACTTGTTATTTTTAATCACTGTAATCTCCTTTCAAAGGAGGCCCTGGTCAGAAACAGAGCAGGCCTTTCAGGGCTTTCCAAAGCACAATTATTGCAGTAGGGGGAAGGTTAGGGGCGACCGAGGGAGGTTAGAGAAAGTGGAGGGAGAGAAAAAGAAGTCAGATATAGCACCAACAACTTGGAATAGGGTGAATAAGAGTCTCAATTGGACCAGGCTGTGGGGGAAGAATCCCCAGGACTCAATTTTTAACCTAGTGACTACTTTATGCTAGTGGAGAGTAACACAAGGCTACACTGTGATGGGGCACAGACAGCACAAGAATTGGTGATGGGACAGATGGAAAGGACAAAGATTTGAGGCAGGAAAAGAAGTTATTGATTCCAAAGACTGTGAGAGATCTTAATTCAGGAAAAACGGAAAAGCACTCACGGCACCGGAGGAATGTTAACTGCCCCAGCCCAAGTCTGCACCGAGCAGCGGGCCGAATGCATTAGATTCACTTTTAACATAATTATTCTAAGAAAGCATAAGCCAAAAGAACATGTCACAACCTAGGAGAGCCCCCTTTTTTCCTAACTTGGAGAGTTGGAGCCAAGTTGGTTAATCACAGAATATTTATTCAGGAGATCTTAGCATGGCTCCTTTAAGAACTTTTCCTTCCAGATCTCTTGGCCAAAAGGAGAAAGGATGATTGTCCCACCTACAGCCCAGCAGTGAGCCACCGGTGTCAAAGTCCCTAAAGCCTAAAGGTTTAGGCTGCTGAGTCCAGGCCCTCCCCTTCCGGCCTTGTTCCCCTCTTGGGGGCAGCACCACAGCGACTCTGTCTCTGGCCACATGATAATGGGATGGATACCCCACCTCCACCCAACCTGGCCCCACTGCTCCCAGCGCCCAGCCAAATGCAGGACTAGTGTGAGAAGACACCAAAAAACACTGGGCCAGGGCCCCATAGAAGCCTAAATCACGAAATCTTCCAGTGTGTCCATTATGGACAATCTTAGACAAGGCTTCTAGGATGAGGACATTAATTTGTCATTCATTCAGTTAATTCATAAGGCCCAGATAATGGCCGTTCGCTGGTAGACTGGACCAGAGTGCTAAAGGAACCTTTTAAACACACACAAACCCCAAAACTTAACCAGGCACACCTCCCTCCACTGTTAAACCAACACAAGGGCTCTCATATACAACTCTAATGTGGACCGGACCGGACTTGTCGCTCAGGCACATTATTGTAAACTCATTCCCTCTCTGTACCAACCAGAGGTTCAGAGGAATTAAACGACTTCCCCAAAGCCACGTAGCTACAAGCCCCTTTGCGTCCAGAGCCAGTCTCCCTGACTGACCGCAGGCCCTCGGCGCCGGGGAGGCCTGCAGAGGCCGTGAGGTTCCTGCCTCCCTCCGGTCCAGTCCACGTGGAGGTCTGGCTGTGTCCTCCTGCCTCCGCCAGCGGCTGTCCCCGCTAGTGGCGGGGCTCCCTCCTGCTACCGCGCCAGCCAGAGCATCCCCCCTACCCCCAGGCTGGGCGAGGCGAGGTGAGGTGCTCTCTGCCCTAAATCTTTCTTCTCAGAGGACCAAAGATCCTGCCAAAGAGAAGCTCCGGGACAAGGCCCCACCCGGCCAAGTCCGTGCGCCAGCCCGGGACAGCCAAATCGGCGTTCTGAGCAGGGCGGCCGCGGACACCACCCCAAACTTTCTCCCGCGTCGCTCCCACCGCTGACTCGCTCGACTCTGGGGATGGAAAGGCGGCTGCTGGGGGTCCACTGGTGCCACCCCCGGGTGCCCACGACCCAGTCTTCCTTGCTCCGCACCAGAGCTGACTTATGCAGGGGCGGGGAGGGAGACGCCGCAGGAAAGGTCAAGCGAGTCATGCCTGGGGTCCTGTGTCCCACGCGGACAGCGGACAGCAGCGCCTGCTGCGCAGGAAGGCGAAGGAGTGGGGGAGGAGGCGGCGCGGAGTCCGGTCCTAAGATTAGCGCCAGTCGGCCGCCCGGCCTGCCCGGAGGAGGCGCTCACCTGCCCCAACGCCGAAGCGCGACGTTCCCGGGGAGCAGAGCCTCGGGCTGCGGGCGCCAAGGTCCCACAGCCTCCAGGGAGCAGGCCTGGGGATCGGGCCCCACTTTCGGTCTTCACTGGACTTCCTCTCCCGCTGGGAGCCTAGCCCGGTTTCCACTGGGGTCCAGTCCTGGAAATCCAAGATCCTCCCCCAAACCAGAGATCGGAAAAGCACAATTGGGGAATTTCTTCCCCAGGACCCATCCGAAGATCTTCAGGCTCTTCCCCATACTCTCCGCGCCCCGGGATCGGTTCGGGAGAAGCGAAAGGTGACCGTACCGCTTGGGGCCAGTCTGAGAGAAGCTGGGCCCCTTCTTTCAGGGGTCGAAGGTGCCTTGTCTGGTCCCCACTGAGAAGAGCCGGGTCCCCTCCCTTCCACAGACCGATCTGGAGGAAGGTGGGTCTGCTCCGCTGCCGACGGTGGGGGTGGAAGGCGGCTACTCCCCAGCCGGGCAGGCGTGACGCGTGGCTCCGCTGAAACCTCCGCCCCGAA